GGTTTAGGGCTTCGGGATGATCTTTAAGTTAGGGGTTTAGGGCTTCGGGATGATCTTTAAGTTTTGGGTTTAGGATTGTGCTAGAGACGTAGAGTCTACAATTTGCTGTGCCTTTTCTTTCGGGTTAGGGGAGGCTCTTGGGCTCAAGGGCTCGTTCTGCAGGGTGTAGGCAGGGGTGGGGATATCAAGCTTGAAGGTTCAGGGTTTAGGGTTTAGGGTCTAGGGTTTAGGGTTTAGGGTTTAAGGTCTAGGATTTAGGGTCCAGGGCTTAGGGGCTGCTGGAGCTTAGGGTTCAGAAGCTTAGGGAAGCTATTCGTACTTTCTGGGGCTCTTCTCACGGGTTCATCTGCCAGGTTGGACTTGGGGTTTAGGACTCGTTTCAAGCCCTGAAACAAATCCTCTGAAAGGATTGTCTAAAGGGTTTAGGGTTCAGGGTTGGGTTTAGGGTTTGGGGGTTTAGGGTTTAGGGTTTAGGGTTTAGGGTTTAGGGTTTAGGGGTTTAGGGTTTAGGGTTTAGGGTTTAGGGTTTATCCTAGAGTATGATGAAGTTCTCGTTTTCGGTCCTTGGGACGTTCGTTCTACTTCCAAGGGTTGGCGGCAAGCAACCCTCCTGAAAATCAAAGCCCCAAGCCCTGAAACCCTAGACCCTAAACCCTGAAACCTTGAACCCTAAACCGCTTTGGGCAAAAGAAATCACAGCGAAATCTGACAAAACCACGATTCTTCTGCACATCCTGCGTGTCGGGATTCTCAAACCGGCACACTGTCACCCTAGACGGCTAAGGGTTTGGGGTTTTAGCGTTTAGGGCTTTGGGGCTTTAGGGCTTCAGGGCTTGAGGTTTAGGGTTTGAGGTTTAGGGTTAAACCGTTTAAACCTAAAACCTACCCCCCCCCCTCCTTGCCCTGGAAGGCCCTCATAGCCGCTTCCTCGACTTCTGCGACAACACTGGCTGTTTCCCCCAATGTTTGGGTTAGAGTACGATAGTGCATTTGGGTTTAGGGTTTAGAGTTTTGGGTTTAGGGTTGTAGTAGCAACCCCAGGGTAGTGCTGGTAACTACTCCGGCTTCTATACTACGGCTCTAGCGGCTTCAGCTTAACATGATGACGCTGCCTTGAGGAGGACGGACTGCATCATGCTCAGCACTCTCGCCCCAAGAAATTCCAAAACCCTGTTTAGGGTTTAGGGTTATTAAGCAGTATACCACGAGTGTCTGCGTATATTATACCTTTGCTGCAGGGGTCTGCCACCACTGCCGTCTGGAAACGGGCTTGCAAGTCTGCGAAGTCTTGCCAGGCCCGGTGAGACCAGGATTCTATCTACAAAGGCCTGAAAATTGCAACTGTACCTGTCAAGAGTTGCTCTTGCTCGCTCAACTCTGGGCGGTCAGAGGCACCAAAGATCGCCCAAGTACAAGGACCCGACTAAGGCCTCCAAACAGTAATTGAACAAGACCTTGTGAAAACTAGGCGAACCAATGCTGCTTTGCGGAATAATCTAAACCCCTAAACCCTTGTTCAACTCCTCCTCATCTGGCAATCTGAACATGTTCAGGGCCTTGCCGATGAGTGGCATCACCTCTGCGCGACAAATAGAGCTGGAAGCCTAAAACTAAAAACCGAAACCCCTACTAAAGCCCTAACCCTACAACCTAAACCCCTAGAGCCTTAAAAACCCTAAGACCTAAACCCTTGGAGCCTAAAAACCCTAAAACGCAAACCCCCTGGAGCTTAAAAACCCTAAAGCCTAAACCCGCTAGAGCCCTAAAACCCTGAAACCTAAACCCCCTAGAGCCCTAAAGCCCTAAAACCTAAACCCCCAAAAGCCCTAAAACCCGAGCCCTAAACCCCGGTAAAGCGAAATCCCCGTCCGACTACGTCAACGGAGTCACGAAGAAAGGGATGCTCGGAGTTTGTACGATTTGGGGTTTTGGAGTCCAGCGACTTGCGGCTTTGGAGTCCAGGGTTCAGGGCGATTTGGGGCTTTGGAGTCCAACGTTTTGGGGCGATTTGGGGTTTTGGAGTCCAGGGTTTTAGGGCGATTTGGGTTTTTTGGGGTCCAGGGTTTAGGACGATTTGGGGTTTTAGCGTTTAGGGTTTGAGGGTTGAGGGTAGTCTGAACAGGTGCAGCAAGAGGAAACAGAGCACACAAGAAGGGCATAACGGCACGACAGGAGCCAAAAGGTTCAGCCTGGCCGAGTTTTCTGAGCTCGTCCGCCTGCGTTCCATCGGAATCGGAAGGTTGGGCTTCCGAAACACCTAAACCCTAAACCCTACACCTTAAACCCTAAACCCTAAACCCTAAACCCTCTAAACCCTAAACCCTAAACCCACTCCCTGAAAATCGCAGGAACCTAGGCCCTGACCTGCGCTGCGGCCGCCTAAATGCAGCTGGAAAGCATTGTCTGCCACCCAGGGCGTAAGCAGGATCCCGCCGATGTAGATCAAGGGCTTGAAGGGGATGGAGGCCGTGTACGCTCCTCTGACTAAAGGAAACTTGGTTTAGGACTTAGGGTTTAGGGTTTAGGGGTTTAGGGTTTAGGGGTTTAGGGAACTACAGGTGGGGAGTTTAGGGTATATAGGGCTTCTATAAGGCTCTATAAGGGATATAGACCTTCTATAAGGCTCCCACCTAAAAATGTCCTAGATCTGACATAAGTCGACAGCTCAGCCTCTTCACAATAGGTTCGGGAGGTTGTGGAATGCACTGCAGTATACTACAAACGTGAGGTTCACCGAAATTGGAGTCAACCCTAAACCCTAAAGCCAAAACCCTAAACCCGAAACCCTAAAACCTATTCGCGGAAGCCCTTGCAGCCTCCCCCAAAACCTGCTGTCGCACGTCTTCCTTTCTATGAGCGACCATATACGGCCGGCCGTGCTACATCAGTCTGTCAGCCTACGTCAACGGTTTAGGGTCTTTTAAGGTTTAGGGTTTAAGGTTCATGTTATGTGTTCCTGCGCAGCAGCAGCAGACACAATAAGCCAGGAGGATCCTAACCAAACAAGGTACCGCCATAGACAAACTAGAGGCCGATGCTTGACAGCTGCGAAGTTTGTGCTCAGAAGAGCCCAAACACTAAACACTCAGCAACTAGACTCGGAACCTTCCATCGAAAGCTTGGACACTACATCCTCAACCCTCAATGTCCCGCACGTGCCTAACATGTATCAGAAAGCTACACTAGACGATGGTGCCCCCGACACCCTCATCAGTCAGAGTCCTGCCATCACCAGTCCCATTGTGGCTGTCCCTGTGAGAACGGTGGTGTAGTAGGCGTAGGCGATGAAGGGCACGTTGGCGGTCCAGTAGATGGTGTAAGACTTAGTATCTCGAAGTGTCGGGGGATCCCTGGGTCCGGTTTGGGCTTCGGGTGGCTTCCGGTGGAGTGCTTAGATGCTCGCGGTGCATGCGGGTGGGTGATTGCGGGGAGGCGTCGATTAAGTGAAAGATTACAGAATCCCGGTGCCTAGACCCGAAACCCTCAACCCGAAACCACCGTGACGGTCGCACCGTTTTACGAGGTTTACAGTCAAGACCTTCTTTTCAACTTCGTTTCTGCACGTCGAATAGTACCCATAGAGAAGCCTAAACACGTACGGGGGCTTAGGGTTTAGGGTTCAGGGAGTCTCCGAAAAGCCCACAAAATGCCCACGTTAGCAAACAACTCCGCCCATGTAGAGCTGTATGGCTGAAACTTCGGGGGGTCCGGGAAACGGCAGTCAACATGAGCTTTGGAGGGCGACAGCCGGCGGTGTTTTGTGGGTCTAGGGTTTAGGGTCTTTTGTTTTAAGGGTTGAGGGCTTAGGGTTTAGGGCTTAGGGTTTAGGGGGGTTTAGGTTTTAGGGTTTAGGGTTTCTTAGACTCGTTCTCCACACTACCCTAAACACCAAAACCCTACACCAGCCTCGAGCCGACTGCAAACCCTCGCAACCACCTAAATTACTCCGACCCCGAAGCGTCCCCAGCTCAACAGAAAAAGCCGTAAGTAACGACTATTGAACCCTATACACTAAATTTAAAGGAAACTACAGGTGGGGAGTTTAGGGTATATAGGGCTTCTTTAAGGCTTCTATAAGGTATATAGACCTTCTATAAGGCTCCTATTACGGTAACTACCCACCTGAAAATGTCCTAGATAAAGCCTAAGCCCTATACCACTCCCGTTTGCCACCACGGCTCCAGAATCAACGAGATCGGGAAGGCAGGTCCCAAGCCCTGTGCCAACAACCATCCTCACTCAGCGTTTTGGGCTTTGGGCTTTGGGGTTTGGGGATTTGGGCTGAAGGAGATGGGGCTTAGGGTTTAGGGTCTAGGGCTTTGGGTTTAGGGGTTTAGGGGTTTAGGGTTTAGGAGTTTGGGGTTTAGGGGTTTTGGGCTTCGGGTTGTTGGTTTTAGGGCTTAAGACCCTTGGACCCAGAACCCTCCTAGAGCCCTAATGGCAACCTTATCGAAACCTGAAACCCTGAACCCTAAGCCCTAAGCCCTACACCCTAAACCCGAAACCCTATTCCCTAAACCCTTGACCCCTAGGCCCTGCGCCCTAAACCCTAAACCCGAAATCCTAAACCCCTGACAGGGACCCCTTAGGTTTAGGGTTTAGGCAACTCCTTCAAGAGGGTACTATAAGGGTTCCTACCCCCTGTCGCAGCCCTTAAAGGAACCCTAAAGCAACCCTAAACCCCACTCCTTAAACCAAACGCGTTTTGGAAGGGGTCCGGGTCTGGACAGGAACAGTGAAGGTATCCCCTTAAGGTCCATAAGATTCGGTTTAGGGTTTAGAGTTTAGGGTTTGGGGTTTAGGGTTGATGATATAAATCCTGCATTACCTTGAGGGCCCTAAACTACCGGAATTATGCGATATTCATTATTATGGGGTCATGCAGGATTTATATCATCAACCGTATTCTAGTTATTTCAGACCTGCGATATCACCAAGCCCGTAAGTCCCATAAGGAACGCTCCTTATTGTCGGCATCAGTATCACTGTCAGAGAGAGCTTAAAGGCGGTGTGTATAGTTCTAGAGCATATGCATACAGCCAGTTCTCTAAATTAGGGTCCCCTTTTAGTGTCCATTTTTATAAGGGCGCCGTACTATATTGGGGACCTAAAAAGGGCCCCATACTTTAAAAGAGAACTAAGTACCCATCCCTAAACCCTAAACCCTAAACCCTAAAACCCTAAACCCTAAACCCTAAGCCCTAAACCCTAAACCCTAAACCCTAACCCCTAAAACCCTAAAACTACCCCTATAGCACATGCTATGCTCTCGGAAAGCTTCACATCTCTGGGCCGGGGCGCGCTCTTCAAAGCTCATGTTCCACAGCTTCTCAAAGTTTAGGTCCTGACCCCAAGAAATACACAGCTTAGGGTCAGGGTTTAGGGTTTAGGGCTTAGGGTTTAGGGTAGCTTCTCAAAGCTTAGGTCCTGACCCCAACATAAATACAGCTGAGGGTTTAAGAGAGATAAAGCATTATTGCTATCGCCGTCATGGACATGACTGTGATGATTGACGCTTTGGCTGCTACACTTGTTCCGACTGCCACTGCTGCTGGTGCTCCTGCAACAGCTAAAGGTGCTTCATGTTGCTGGTGCAAAGGCGGCTGCTTCTGCTGCTGCCATCAGTACTTTGACCGCGAATGGATCTGGCAAGAGTCTACTCCTGCCCGCACGATCAGCACACTACTACCTGTTGAGGTCGTTCCTCCCGGACGGCTTTGACGCGCTTCTCGGCCTCGTCGAGGGTCCTTGGACCAACGCGGTGGCTTTCGAAGCTGCGTCGGCATCTGTTCAGTTCCCGAAATCACCTCTTTCCAGCTTTAAGCCTCCCCAAGCAGCATCAAGCACCTGGGTCCAAACCGCTGTCAACTACCATGACCTCAATGCCTGCATCAAAGCGTCTGTGCTTCACCCCACAAACTGCTCTAAAACTGTGTCGCATGCTGAATCCCCAAACATCCTAAACCCTAAACCCCAAACCCCAAACCCTAAACCAACTTCCTAAACCCGAAAGCCGTGAACCACCGCCCCGACTCCTCTCCGGGACAGCTGGGCCACATCATCTCAGCTGGCTTGGAGCCACCCAGGGACTCGACCATCTTCGCCAGATCTTCTACCTCATGCCAACATATAGGATTGGGTTTTGGGGTTTAGGCGGGTTTAGGGTTTTGGGTTTTGGGATGCCAGTATGGATTGGGTGTTGGGGTTTAGGGTTTTTGGGTTTTGGGATTTGGGGGTTTAAGGTTTCGGGTTTAGGGTCAGTAGCTACAGGCTCCAGTCGACGGCTGCAGGTTGAAAACTGGCTATTAGAGTTTGGGGGGTTTAGAGGTTGAGGGTTTAGGGTTTAGGGGTTTAGGGTTTATAGAAACTTAGCCAACCGAAGCTTGGCAGCTTCTCATGTCAAATTCTTAATCAAAGGGGAAGGAAGGTAC